CAGGACAGCCATTTTCTCAGCAGCCTTCAGTAAAGGCGGTAGATTCCGATGTAAGTCATGACTCAAAATTTTACTTAAGTGAAGGACTTAAGCTATAAATTCTGGAAGGTGAGCCAACTTTATTAATCCTGGTATGCTGGCAGCCTGAGGATTGCACTGACCCTTAGAAGTTGAACCTATGAATACCATCTTTTACTATTTTGCAAACATTTCTTTCGAATGAACTTCTTGTTTTGCTTATATTTATAAACTCTTTGTTTAGAATAAGGAGCTTCTGCAGATTTTGAATTTGTAATGAAGCATTTTTAAAAATAAAATTTTACATATCCTAAGAAATAATGCATGAGAATAGGACAATTCAACTGTTATAATTCTCTACTACTTTTTTTTTTTTAGGGTAATTGTGTATCAGTTGGTGTTACTATGTTGACTTTGAAGGCCATACTAAAGGACTCCAATAATAACCAAGTCAGTGGTCTTAGTGGAAATACAACAATTCCATTTAGCAGCTGTTGGGCCAACTATACAGACCTTACTCCTCTTAGAACAGGTAAGTGTACTGTTTTGGATCCTTACATATATATCCATAAATAGGAACAATTATAATTTTCTTTTAATGAACAAAGCATTCTATACTGCTCTGGTCAGTAAATTATAGATATCAGAATCCTATACTTTGCCTTGTTCCAGAAAATATTTAGTCTAGCTTAGCAAAATATATTTAATGTGCAAAACAAAGTAGAAATTAAAATAAGCAAGTAAGGTAATCAAAATTATATCAGACTTATGTTTCATTTTTTTATCCATTTGTGTATTTTTCTAAATTTTCTCACTAAATGTATTACATTTATAGTAAGAAAAATTATTAGTAATATATGGATTTTCAAATTCAAGAAGTGAAAGGATAAAGTAGGCTCATAGAACTTTAATGCCCTGTGCAGGAGTTCAGAGTTGGGCTAGAAAGTTGGCTGTAGTCTTTCTGAAAGTCAACACAAAGGAGAAACCATGAGCATTATCATGATTTACAGTACCCATCAGGTAAATCAGTTGCTGTGGAGAATTATAACATGCTCTGAGAACAGAACAGGTGTCTGCTATGAGTCCTCAGGAAGTGTGCACAATGAATCTGTACCAAGTGACATCTTCAATATCAAACCAGTAAACGTGGCTATGACTGCCACAGTGATGTTTCTTGTATTACTTCCAGATGGGTTGATGGCAAAACTCCAATTGGTAAAAGCCATTCTACTAGGACCCAAGTCGTGTTAATATATCCCCAAACAGGATATCTCTTGGTGATAGATTGTACAGTATCTAAGAGAATGAAATGGATAAACTGCTTATACTTGAGACAGACCTTCATTGATCTATCCAGGGCCCACTTAAGACCTATAGAGAACTTAACTTCTGAAAAGGTTATGTAGTGGCACTCCCCATTTCTTACCACTGCTCTCTCCTCTCAAACACACACACACACACACACACACACACACACATCAGAATAAAAGTAACTATAAAGAGTAAAATGTGTTCCAGCGCTTTCCAAGAGTATATAAGAGGTACTATATCACCATTGTTTCTTAAAGCTGAATAGTACTCCATGGTATACATATACCACAGTTTATTAATCCAGTATTAGCTGATCAACATTTAAGTGCACATATAAGAATAACATGTATTGGATGTTGGGCAGGGGGAGGGGTAGGGGGGGAGGGGACGGGCATATGCACAAACAATGAGTGCGATGCGCACCTCCGGGGAAATGGATACACTTGAAGCTCGGACTTGGGGGGGAGGGTAAGGGCATCATATGTAACCTAATCATCTGTACCCCCATAACATGCTGAAATAAAAAAAAAAAAAGAGTAAAATAAGTAAAAGAATTTCCGACAATGGTCTGATTTTTTTTAAGTAACTAAATATCAAAAGATAAAATCATTCTGAAGGATTTTTCCTTTATTTTTCATTTCTTCATGCTTTGATAATGCCCTCAATCAGATGTGTTCAGTCTGCCTACTGGACAGCAATATATCAACCTAATGTTTGATAGTAATCAAATGACGATGAGTCCAATGTTGTGCTCTTAGACAAGTACCTAGTGTCCTATTGCTTGCTGGTCAAGGGCAGAGACAAATTCTTTTAAAAGGCAGCCTAAAGGGTACGCTTTTGTGGGAAATGAGGCACCTGACAAGAACACTGCCTGAAGAGAAGGTTGCTCACCTTTTCATGAAGGTGGACCCAATAAGTGCTCAGTGGCAAAGACCCAACCTTCTGACCAAGGTCTTCAAACTACCACTTCCAAATAGCAATGTCCCAAAGTATCCAGAATCACTGGAGTGCTAAAGCAATAAAATAGGTTTTGGCATTTTACTGTGGTAACAATGTAATAATTAAAGTACTTTCTAATCATACAGTAAGGTTTTTTTTTTCAGAATTCAAAGCTTTCCTTGGGGTGTCCATTTGACCTGCTATGGAGAAGAGCCATTGCTTCTCATTTGTGTCTTTCTTTCCCTTCTTCCCCTCTTCCCTCCCTCCTCTCTCTATCCCCTCCTGCCCTTCCACCTCTGTTCTCTCCTCCCTTTCTCTCTCTCCCTCTCTTTCCTTTCTTCCTTTCATAAAGTGTGGAGTCTCAGTTCCCTGGTTATATGTAATAAGAAAAGCCAAGTTTAGTTAGCTCTTCATTATGTTTAGGCCAATTAGCCAGTTGGTAGATTAACCACAGTAAAATTATATTAATAGTAACAACAAAGCATATGTGAGAAAATTAACACGCTTTTCCCTTGACTCTTACTAGCAGGTGCCCACGCCCCCCAGTCAGTGCACTGAAGGAAATCCCCTTGCTAATCAAACTGCAGCTGACAACACAGCACCCCTTTTCTGCACAGAGCCCCATAAAGGGCAATGCAGGGCCACCTGGGTAGAGGCGATATGGGTTTGGTTACTAAACAGAAATAGGGATGTGAGAATTGGGTGAGAAAATGGTGGGAGGAAAAGGAAGTAAAGAGCTGAGACTGCATCTTTGACCAACCCAGATAAAGATAGTATTACTAATGGGCAATTGGGACGTGTTTGTCTAGTGACCTACGTAATGTTTAGTGTTTGTTTCAGTTTTTATTGCTACATAAAACACCAGCCCAAAATCTAATGGTTTAAAACAACAACCATTTCATTTGCTCACAATTATGTGAGTCAGATATTTGAGCATGAATGGCTCATCTCCATTACGTGATGTTTGGGGCTTCAGCGGGGGATTTCTAAGAGCTGGGGCTAGGTAGGATGGCTTGATTAGGGTCATATCTCTAAGGTCTTTGATTCTGGATGTTGGCTGGGTTCTTCAGTTCTTTATGTGCCCTTTCTATAAGGCTAGCTTGGGCTCACAATACTGCAGGAGGGGAAAAACAAAACAAAACAAAAAGACCACCCTAAATTCTTTGCTCATCAAAAGCATTAAGAAAAAGTACATCTGTCACAAAAATTCACACTTTTTTCAAATTGAAAAAATGAACAATTTAAATACACCATTGTCATGAATTGTCAGTGGCAGCAAATTCTATAGAACAGTGCCCATACATCTTGAAAGTTATGTTATAGAATGTATTGCTATTGTTTGTGAAAGCATAAATGTGGTCAAGGTCTAATTATATTTAATATTTTCATCCTAAAAAGAAAGGAAGAATGAAAACAGAAAAGACTTTTAGAAAACAAATAATAGATTAAACAGAGAAGTAAAAACTTACAGGGCTGCATAAGTATTCTCTATTCTGTTTAGTAACTACTATTAATGATAGCAGTAGTTTCAGAAGAAAATATTTCAAGGAAAAATATATTAGTTATATTCAAAACTGTGGAAAGATTTAACATGTAGATTAAAACATATTTGGATGCGCTCTTTATCTTCTACACTATAAACACATGTAACAATGTTTCTCTAAGATGTCTACTTGAGGTAAGAAGAAAGGGTCATAATCTTGCAATACAAAAATAGCATCTGACTTAAAGCAAATGTGGAAGATGGTTAAAAACTGTTGAATCTGAATGGAGGGCATACGGTTGTTTATTGTACTATTCTTTCAACTCTTCTCTAGTTTGAAACGTTTCAAAATAAAAAGTTCAGTATCCATCCCATCTTCCCCAACTGAGATGGAGGCCTCTCCAATCCTAGGTCAAGTAGGCAGGGATGAAACAGAGATGCAATACCTTTACCTCCCTTCCCTATTGTCCCTCATTTCAAACAGCCTGTCTCCAATCCTGGGCACTAGGACGAGGAAGGAACCCTAAGAATCTGGTACTATTGCTGCAGAAAGAAAAACTATCCAGGTTCCTCTTGTCCATAGCTAATGGGCTCTTCTAACTCTGAGACCCTCTCTACACTTGTCCGTATTTAAACTAATTCATTTGACTTGATTTTCAAAAATACATTATTGGGAATTATACACTATTTTTCACCAATGAAAACCAAATTGGAACTATACAAAAACAAGCAAAACATAAAAGAAAATCAAATGCTTTCTTTTCTAGGAAAAAATTATAAGATTGAATTTATACTGGATAATGTTGTTCGGGTAGAATCCAGAACTTTCAGCCTGCCAGCACAGACTGTCTCTAGCAGCAGCAGCAGTGGCGGCAGCAGCAGCAGTAGCAAAGCAACAACTGTGCGTACATCTGCCCAGATAATGATAATAGTAATTAGCTGTCTGATGGGAAGAATGTTGCTCTTGGAAATATTTATGGCTGCAGTTTTTGCTTTGAATGTAACTATAGGTAAGTACAATTCATTTTTTATATAATATGTCTCCTCATAATGAGGTACCAGTAAATGTTTACTAATGCATGGCACCACTGCAGACACAAAGACAAAGTAACAGCCTCAATGGCAGAGACAAGACAGCCCTACAGGAAATATTCACATTACACGTTGGGGTGTAAGAATGTGGGGAATGAAAAGTGCAGGTAATGGCAGAACTCTTTTGAGTTGCAAGAGGCAGACACTCAGCTTGAACTGCTTTAGGCAGTAAAATGATCACTTAACTGAGGTGTCCAGAAGTCGTCTGGTTTCTGCCACAGCTAGACCCAAGGACTCAAATGATGCCATCCAGAACCTGTGTCTGTCCATCTCTTGGCTCCATTCTCCTTGATGGTAGCTTCACTCCCAGGCCAATTGCTTATCTCCCCGATCCTCATGGCAAAGGTACCCACCAACATCTTCATAATTTACATTCTACCCGCCCAGCAGCCAATGCAGAAAGAGCAAACTTCTTTCCCAACAGTTCCAGCAAAAGTTCCAAAGCTATGTGATTGACCTGGCTTGGGTCACATGCCTATTTCTGAACAAATCACTGTGGCCACAGTGGTCTAATTAGCTTGACCTAGGTCATATGAGGTAAGGTGCTGAGAATGGTGGAGATGTGGTTTTACTAAGGAAAATTAGGGTGCTAGTACCAGAAGTGGCAGGCAGACAGAAATAGTGAATATTAGGGAGATTACTAGGAGGGAGAGGTCCCTATGAGCTAGAATGATTAGAGATCATTGTAAATGTCACTCCATCAGCAACATGTGAAAGTTGGGACTATATAGAATGTGTAGGATTTGGAGAGGGAGGGAAAAGGCACTCAAGAGCAGAGATACGATAGGAGCAAAGAAAAAAGTGGAAGTATAAAAAGGCATCTTCAGCTATACTTGTACATGTTCAGCATGGAATTACTCATCTTTTCCCTCCAAACATACTTCTCCTGCTATCCCTATGCCATGCCATCTTTTCTGATCTCTCAGGTTGACACTTCTTAGATTTCTCCCTTTTCTTCAAACTCCACATCGCTTGAGGTGCTCTGTGCCATCTCTATCCAACCATAATGTCTCTTATCTGTCCCTCATTTAAAGTCTCACTGCTCTACTTGCAACTTTTTTTTTTCTCACCTGACCTGTTATAACAGACTCCTGAATTCCTTGCTTCCAGACTCCCTCACTTCCAGCCTATGCTCCATATTGCTGTCAGATTTAGCTTCCTAAAGCACAAGATCATGTAATGATAACGGTAATCTCAAATCCTCAAAGATTCCTCACTACATGTAAAATGTAATCAACACCAAAGGGCCTGAAACTAGTTTTAAAGACTGCCTCCTTGTTCCAAATCATTCCTAGAAAAGATTCTAGCAGGTTTCCCTGCTTCCTTCCCACTCTACAATACATTTAATTCTCTTCTCCCTTGGTCTCCAATTGCACTTTGTTTATAGCATTATTATAGCCCTTTCTGTAATGCACTTATACTAAACTTATATTCAAATCTATCTTCCTCCCTAAATTTTGAGCACTTAAAAGACCACATGCCTAATCCAGGTGCAGTGGTGCACACCTGTAGTCCCAGCTACTCAGAAGACTGAGGCAGAAGGATTGCTTAAACCCAGGAGCTCAAGTCCAGCCTGGGCAACATAGTGAGACTTTATTTCTAATATATATATATAAAATAAATTTTTAAAAAAGATCACCTACCTTACATATTATAGGTACCGAAAATGTGGTTTAATTGATTTTAAATCTTAAAAGGTAAGTCCTTACCTCTGACTTAGGAAGAAATGTTGAGTAGGGGTATTGTAGGCAAATTTTAAAGAGCTTTGATTAGAACATATTAATACATTTGCAATTGATTTCATGGGGGAGAGTTTCTGACAGATTAATGAAATGAAAGCATTACATAAGAAATACTATATTAATAAGGTTGAGGAAGAATTTGAAATGGAGTAATAATTTAGAAGGATACTAAAGCATTTTGAGCAATAAAAGCCAAAACTAGATTTTAAATTTAAATATAACGAAAGTCAGGGTGAGAGGACATAATAAAGCTGGTTCTGGAAGGAACAACACAGTCTGAAGGCAGAAACCAACTGCTGGGGCTTCAGGAACAGTTATAAACCATGAAGAAGTAAATCCTTTCTTCCCTTCCAATGGCAGAAACTAATTAGGGTCCAGCAGTCAAGGGAGAAGCATAGTTTACAGAGACCTTGTCCTGGCCTCTCATAGCTGAATAGAGACAGGTGGGTTTGGAGCTGATAAACAATGACCAACACACAAGTTATTTTTATGCCAGTTTTTTTTTTCCTTCAGAATTCTCATAAACGTCATTTATTTCATGATAGGATGACAAATATTGCTTAAATGTATTGTTTTCCTTCTCAGAAGCATTAAAATATAAGGTCTAGTTGGCTAAGTACTGCTTAATTTATATTTGTGCATTTTGTGTTTCCTCATTAATGCATTTTTTTCTAATTGTCTTCAGTGGCTTTCATTCTGTTTGTTCCTGACAACTTTGGTACTTTACTAAATTAAGAAAATTCTATTTTCAAACCATTAGTAAATGATATAGTTCCTGAGTCTTTTTCAGGACTTTTTCCAAATAAAAAAGTTAATCAATGGCTTCACCTTTGCTACTAAATAAACTACCATTTTTCAATTAAGACATAAGATGATTCAAACATAATTAATAAATTGAAATATTGGGTTTTTTTATAACTTTGCATTCTGAACTAACAATATTTTACTTTTAAGACAATCATCAAGTTCCACCAAATAAAATAGCAAAACTTAAAAGTGAAAAAATGCAAAAAATGGGTAAGCACCACAATCTACACATTTCCAAAAAAAAAAAAAAAGAATTTACTGATTCTAACACTAAATTGGTAAACTTTGAAATACTAACTTTTAAATATTAATGTTACTCTTGCCCTGTTAACCACACCATGATATGAGACAAGTCAAAATTAATGAAATATATTTTAAATCATAATATATGTTTTTACTACTTTAAAAAAATTTTTGTGTTGTTTTCATTTTTCAGGATGCAACTAAAGTGCTATTCTGAAGAATGGGCTGAAAAAAAATACAAGAATAGCTTATTTATGAGCTATTTTGTTATACAACATGAAAAAGTCTATAGCATTTTCAAGAAAACATGCTAAAAATATTTTTGTAACATATAAAATGTACTAATTAGCTTTAAACACAAAAATTAAATCTCTTCAAAATATAAATTTCATTTGATTCCTTATGTTTGTATGTTCTTATTTCATTCAAAAAAACTTCTAGAAATATTTCATTTGGAAGCAGATATGACACCTTTAAATTATTGTACCAGCAAATCATAGACTCCTTTAAAGAACTGAAAGAATTTGTCTAGTTCTGAGTTAAGCCTTTTAAATCAGATTGGAAGCATTTTGAGTTTGGTTTTTGTTGTTGTTGTTGTTGTTGTTTTTACTATACGTGGTGGGGTGCTGCTTTTCTTTATCCATTCATGAGGCCCTGATTTGCAACAATCTAGCCATTCTAATTTCTAAGAATTTTGGCATGACAAGATTGTTTTAGACCTTTGTCACACTGAATTTCTATCTTTCAGATCCACAGGAATTCTAGTCTGTTTTAGATTTCTGGGCCTGCCAAACTCTGGTCAATATTCTAGGAAGAGTTTTCTTGGTGTCCCTGGAATGGGCTTTTGAAAGAAGTCCAAGCTTCTTCTCTTCTTACCCCTCCTTCCCATGCAAAACTGCCACTACTAAGAATATGACCTCCTCCAACCCCAGGCAATGACAAAACAAAACAACTTTATTTCCAAGAGGATAAAGTACAGAATGCAAAACAACCACAGATTAATGTAGCTAAGTTAACCAAACTGTCTAATACTATAAAATTGCAAAAATTGCAATCAATTTTTACTCAGAATATTCTAAAGGAAATGCTTAATTTGGCAGTGCTCCCAATAAAAGCATTGTATGTAGCCAGATCCAGAACAAGTAGAGTTGGTCCTCACAAAAGTTACTTTCTGGCAAGTGACACTCAGCAAGTGTTTGGGACAGCTGAGAGAATTAAACAGAGCCCGTAACTTTGTCTCCTGTGTATCATCTCCTAGCATATTCACTTCAGATCATTGTTAGTCTTGCTTAGAAGAAAAATTATAAACACTTACCAGGTAGTAAGTCCAAATATCTTTGTATATATTTGGCATTTCATTTAGTTGAACAAACATTTATTTGGCATCTATTAGGTACCAGGCATCCTGGTAGACTCTATGGAATAAGATGCTATGCCTACTCTCCAAGAGTTCACAGGGTGGTTGGGGACAGAGCGAAAACAGATCGTTTCAATATAATATGATCTATGAGAGAGAGAGAGAGAGAGAGAGAGAGAGAGAGAGAGAGAGAGAGAGAGATGTGTGGAGCTGGAGGGGCACAGAAGAGGGGCACTCACCTGGGGCATCCTATGAGGATGCAGATGGATGGGGACAGCTTCCAGAAGGAGACGCCTGAGATGAGTGAGGACTAAAGCATAGGATTAAGGAGGGTGTCCCTGTGGGAGGTGTGGTGGTCAGAGTGAAGACTGGAACACCACCAGACAGCAAGCTCCTTGAAGGCAGGGGATTTCCCTTACTCAGCACTTTTTTCCTGTCATCTAACAAAATGTCTATCGCTAGTGAATGCTTATTCACTGTTTATTGGATGAATGAAGCACAGAGTGTAGGGAAATCACTAAGCAGGTGGCTATTAACATGAACATCAAACATGACATGAGAAAAGGCAAGACACAAGGCTGGAGGGGAGGGCAGCAATCTTCTGTCTGAGCCTTTAAAACTGCCATCCCCAGTCCCTGGGTGTACCAGTCCATGGCCTGTTAGGAACCAGGCTGCACAGCAGGTAGCAGCAGGGAGTGAGTGAAGCTTCATTTGTATTTACAGCTGCTCCCCATAGCTCACATCACTGCCTGAGCTCCACTTCCTGTCAGATCAGTCACTGTCTCCCATCATCCCCAGGTGGGATCATCTAGTTGCAGGAAAACAAGCTCAGGGCTCCCACTGATTCTGCATTATGGTGAGTTGTATAATTATTTCATTGTATATTACAATGTAATAATAATAGAAATAAAGTGCACAAGAAATGTAATGCACTTGAATCATTCCAAAACCATCCCTCCCACCCCCGGTCCATGGAAAAATTGTCTTTCATGAAACCAGTCTCTGGTGCCAAAAAGGTTAGGAACTTCTGCTCTAAAGGGCTTGGATGCAAGTTTTAACCAGGGATACAGTTTTAACAGGATATTAAAATAGAAGTTTTGGCTAAGACAAAGTAGAAAGGGAGGTACGAAAGAAAGATATAAAACACTTTTCAAAGTAGGTAGCCTAAAAGAGTAGAAGATTAAAGGAGGATTTTTGAAGAGCAGTTCTTTGAAGATGGCTCTGCTGAGAGACCCCTTTCCAAAGGGGAAGGAGTGAGGTGCTAGCTCCTAACACCAAGACAAGAGAAAAGGACTTTTATTAGGCTCATGGAAAGCTTCATAGATGTTCCCTGAGGTTTGGGGCACACAATGAACTGGTGTCTGAATCATAACTCATGAATCTAATCATCTAGCCACCAGAGAGCAGATGGCTGAAGCAGTCAGTGGCAGCCAAGTCTAGGGCTGCAGTTTAGAAAGCAAAATTACAGCACCTCCTAGAGTTTGTTGGGCAAAGGACATATAGATATGTCCCATGAACCTGATGTGGGCAGTGTGTGTGTGTGTGTGTGTGTGTGTGTAAGAGAGAGAGAGAGAGAGAGAGAGAGAGTGAGAGAGAGAAAGAGAGAGAGAGATTGCTAGCAATGGGGAGGCCTCAAGACTTGCTCTGGAAGGCAGCCTTGAAGGGCAGTCCACTGCAAGAAAAGGAAACTGGAAGGGGACCACTGAATGCCTAGGGGCTATAGAAAAAGTGCAAGCAAACACCTGGAATAGAAATAGTCACAATTTTAAGGAAACTGAAATTAAGAAGTCCTTGACAATGAGGTCTTTGAAGAACACATGTAAGTCCCTAGGTGAGGAATATTTGCTATGTCCAGAGAACACTGATACTAGATCATACACCACCAGGCGATTGAGCAACACTCAGTTCCAACCCTGGTGGGTGAGAAAGCTCTGTTCCTGAGATGGGGAGGAGGAGAGAGACCCAATATGCCCCATTTCATGCTAAGACTTAAAAGTCAGGGTTTCTAAATGCAAATCCAATTTACTTTCCATTCCATGACACTTCCTTTCTGTTAGAAAACTAAATTCCCAAAACTGCAATTTCAGCATCTATGGAACATGTTCCTACATTTGGGTCTGGAAGAGATACAAAAATATTATTCATACCAGAACTCTATGAAAGCCACAAAATTGCTCACCATCTGGAGTCTTTTCTTACAAAGTTTTAATTCAGTCCACTGGATTTTTTTGTCAAAATTTTTCTGTACGTTTTTAATAAAGAGGTTTTCTAATACAAGTCATGTGGCAATAAAAGGAATTTCTAAAAATTTGCTTCTTAGATACAGTCTTTGTTGAAAAGTTCCTGATTTAATTGGTTTAGGTTTCTGGTTGTTTGCTTTTTAAGAACTTTCTAGAATTAGTACATAATTTTTTATGCTAGATAAATTACAATTTAATTGCTACTCTTTAAAATGCCTGGTTTGTTAGGAACCCATGGACAATATGGCTTCACATATCCTTCATTCATATGCTAGTCACCTTTTTGCTTTGAAAATCTAGGCTTTTAAATAGTTTCTCTGAACATTTCTGTCTTAGAAATTAATGTTTAAAGTTTAAAAATACTTTTAATATAAGAAGTGGCTATTTTGCTGTTGAACAAGTAGTCATAAAAATTCTGAGGTGTGTTAGTACTGTTCTATCCAGGATATGAAAAATGAGTAAAGTAAATATAATGTTCTCATCGTAGTCAATGTAAAGAATAGAGAATAATAAGGTAATATGAATATCTTCTTGTATTTCTCACAATGAGTAAAATGTTTATATCTTGTACTATGGTCTCTCCTCTTTCCTAAGGTCTATCACTGTGTCATTGCAAGTTCTCATCATTGCAATGATCATTGCAGGTGGTCCATCTGCTTTTACCTCTTCTCAATTTTATCCCACAAAATGCTATGTAAAATACCCTTATTACTAATAATAACAATAATTAATGAAATAAACAGTTACTACATGCTAGACACTATGCTGAATGTTCTACATGGACTTTCTTTACAATAACCCTAGGAAGATAACCTTATTATATCCCCTTTTCCAAACGAGGAAACTTGAAACGTAAAAGATTGGGTAAAATGCCCAAGTTCCCAGAGCTACTAATGGTAAAGCTGGCATTGAAACCCTCACAATCTAACTTCAGAGTCCAAATTCCAACATTAATTGCCTCTCACTTTTCCTCGAGCATGGGAGAGTGTTTCATTATGAAAAGAGTTTTTAGTCCATATTCCTGTTCAAATTCTAGGTTTATACTTTACCATCTCTATGCTCTAAGGCAAGTTCTTAGTTTCCCTTTTTCTTAGTTTCTTCACCTATAACAGGGAAAATATCTACCTGTAGTATAGTATTTGAGGACCAGAGGTATCATATATATGGCACGTGACACAGTGCCCAACAGGTGGTAGGCTTTCAGTAAATGATAGCCACTCCTGTCATTTCTATTACCATAATGTTGTCTATATCATGTCAATCCCTGGCCCAATAAACCATTAGGCTTCTATTACACTGGAACAGTACCTAGCATGTAATAAGCACTATGTGAGTGCTAATTGTTATATTAGAATCATCGGCTGGGCACAGAGCCACCCAGAACAAAGACTATTTCCCAGCTTCGCTTGCAGTGAGAAGTGACCAACTTTTGTGCAGTGGGTTATGAAAACAGGAATAATCTTGTGGCATATTCTAGAAACTTTCCTTAAAACATGGCTATTATGCATCCCTTTGCCCTTCCTTCATCCCCTCCTGTTTTTCCTGAAGTATGGAGCAAGATGCTTCCTTAGATCAGGAGGACAAAGACCGATACCTGGGGGAATGTG